TTTGTTTCATTCTCTTATAGCTGATTGGCTTCTCATCAAAGACGAGCGAGTCGTTAGTGTACTCGACTAGCAACTGTTCATCCTTTGAAACTCTTCAAGAAGATCGGATGAAATGAAGCAAACTCAGCCACTGTCAACACGAACGTGAAGACATTGTATTAACAGTGACAGACTTTGGTTCACGTCATGAGTCCATTCAGTAGAAGTTTTGCTAGGCCACACCTGTTACAAAGAAAATTCTTTCATGTCTGTGAATTACAATCCCAGGTTTATTTTCAATTTTCTCCACTGGTATCAGCGCTAATAAGAATCCCGATAGTGATTGATGTAGAGAATTTTATTTCCAAGAAGAATTTTCCAAGATGAAAATGGTTGCAAGTTTTCAAAGGATAAAATCTCTGAAAAGCCAAGTTTTTCAACTCTTAGAATTTGCAAATAAAATTCTCTTTGAATTGTACAGAATAATAGAGCAAACAATTCTCTACAAAATGAAATGTCTTCCAGCGCTCTACACTGGTTTTTGATCAAGGTGCATCAACCTTATGGAAGGCACGAAAGCCAGTTTTTTTTTGAATACCTCATATGGAAATATAATTTTTATGCCTTTCGTAATATTGATGTATCTCAGTCAACAAATGCTGTAGAGGGCTGAAAGATATTTCATTTTATAGGAAATCATTTTCTCTATTATTTTGTATAATTCAAATAGAGTTCTATTTGTAAATTCTAGGAGATGAAAAGCTTGGTTTGGCGTTTTTCAGAGATCCTATCCTTGGAAAACTAGCAATCACCAAACTAAGGAGATAGTATTGATTATTCGATCATTTATGCTTTTTTTTTCAAAACAATTCATATCATTTGATTCGTTTAGGTTGAAGATGAAAAACGTGATCCACATAGTACAAATCGAATACCAATGGGTCGAATACCTCATATGTGGGGTCAATCTCTTTTTATTTTAGCTATGCTTGTTAAAGAAGTATATTAATTTTATTTTATTACTAAAAT